TCTTTTGTTCATGAACCTGGCTTAGTGCACTACAGACCTCTTTTCAATAGGGGCCAGATTAGCGTGCAGCGGTGCCGTGTGGCTCATCGCTGCGGAGGTGGAGTGCTTTGTTCCCCCCGGTAATCCGCTCGCTCTCAATGCCCAAACCCTGGTATACGGTTTCAAAACAAAGCTGGATTATCACCACTTTTGAAAGTGAAAAATGTCGGTAATGNATATAAAGCATACGTCTCCGATTCCGGAGTCCCCAGCAGGAAGTGGTTAAATATGTCATAATTTTGACCTACGATGATGAAATCACCACAGTACCATTATTCTAGGACCCACTGTATATTAAGGTCATTCCTTGGGGTAACTTGGATGAAGATACAAGATTGAAAAGTGATCAAAGTTACCCCTAGAAAAACTATGTAGAAGGACAGTGGGTTTTTAATGAATTTCAAAATTAAATAATTACTGAGATGATGATTTTATCATGTCAGTTCAATGTATTCCACCCTGAGAACAAGCTACACCTATTTACCAAATTATTTCATTTCATCAGCATAACATCACAAATATTTCTCAAATTATACGTCTTTAATCACCAAATGCCTTGTTAAAAAGAATTTTGAAAGCCCACTGCACTAATCCTACCAAATAATCACAACTTTTGTAAATTTTCTTTTGTGCCTTTTGCCATTTGTTAAAAATTTGATCAACTGTAGTGTGCCCTAAAGTGCTACAATGCAGAGCACCATTTCTTAGTACCATTGCGAATGGACATGTCATTTTGGCATCTTTGATTTTCTCAAGTCAGATTTAGATAATTTCTTTCAAGCTATGAGTACAGTACCCACTTCCTTGCTTAGAGTAGAGCGGAGGACTCTAACTTTTGCCCTCAGTATTGTTAGCTGTTTCGATCACTGGCTAAAACTGCTATTGTTTGTGTTCTCTGGTCGCGATTGTGAAGTATAAGACACTTTTCCACAAACACGAACAGAAAAACCTCAAATTGCCTTTCTTTTGCTACAGTTCTAACAATAAGCAATGTCACAGGCAGCCTGCAGCATTTGTTTTTAGAACAAAATTGGATTAAGAGGGCGAGAATGTTTATTTGTACACGTCAGTGCAACTTATGGGAGGACAGGGGTTAGGGTATTTTTACTTCATTGAAACATGATTCTTGTCAGGAAACCAGATTTTTCGGCACAAAGAACTGCTCCAAAGTACACAAGTTGGTGTTATTAAGATTAAGAGAGCCAGGTCATTAAGGTCATTAAACTTAATGAAAAATGATATATCCCACGGAATAGTAACATCATGATTAAGAAAAAACAAATTTTTAACAATAACCGGTTTTTCCATGTTTTCCTGTTTTCTTCTTTTCAAATTTTGCCTATTGACATTACACGTGGTCGTTCTACACATTACTTTTGGTCCTTGCTCTGTTCCGATTTCCTTCAAACCCTGCACACTGTCAGAGTACTACCTGGAGATGTATGCCAAACCATGACGTCACCATGACTTTTTCACCCAATTTATTATAGAATTTTGAATATTTAATTTTTCCCCATACATTTTGTACATGTTTTCAACTTCCAAAATGGCACAGACTTTGGCCACTCCACAAAATAAAACTTGGTCCAAGCAAATACCATATAGCATAGATGGCCCTAGAAGAATGACATCACTTTGACGTTATGAAATGATTTATTATTTAATTTTGAAGATTCAATTCATCCCATTGACATTGTACACATTGTTTGGACATACAAACAAATTGCCAGTTCTGATTATTCCGATCATGAAGCAAAGATTGTGCATGGGGGGGTACATCCACTTACCTCAATCAAAAATGATTCCCTCATGAACATCCATGTGCCCAGTCCCCCACTTTAACATTCCCCACGTACTCCCCATTCATTAAGATCCCAAGAGTGTGGTGCCACTGAATGCATGTACACATTTAGCTTACTGATCATGGCAGTCCAATTAGCGTAGAATCATTGCTCCAATGTACTTGACGTATACAGATGGTATTACCTGGAGCATTATGCAATTGATCCAATCTATTGCATTTGTCTTAAAAAACAGCTTGATGAACCTTGAGTAGTGATTTCCATGTCTTTCAGATGACCTGCTCTGAGAGAATGTACTAAGCATAACTTTAAAAACGTGTCAGTAATTTCATCATTACAGATGAAACATTTGAAAGGTTTATTTGATTCTTCCTGCATTTACCTTCTGAGTTTCCCAAGCTGATTCCAGGCTGGACTGCAATCACGCATCATTACCATGGATTTTTCCGTCATGCATGCATGAGGACACAGGACTCTTGGAAGCCTTATCATCATGGGATTTGGACATAACAGCTCGTTTAACATAGGCTAGCTAGTAGATATGAAATGAAAGAAAAAGACCAAACTGAAAGATCTGGAAACACCCAAACTTCATCCCTCCAAACTAGTCTGTGTCTTCAAACAAAATCCTTTGGTTTATATCAGGTTATTGAAACAGCGTATTCCAGCTGGAAAAAACAGAAATCATTGAAGTATGATTTGTAATCTAAATATTGGAACAGGCAGGTTGAAATGTTGTCAAATTCAGTTTTTGCAATTAGCACGGATAGAGCTGTATTTGCACTCAAAAGGATGTTTGATTCAAACAAAAGAAATGGATTCAGATGAAATGATCGCATGCTGGCAGGCTGGTAAAGAGTTCTTTCCAAGAGAATGTGTAATTTTGAAATAACCAAAAAAAAATTTATACACTTGCCTGACCACCTGTTTTAAGGCAACAACAGGTTTATTGTGTTTGTGGTACATCCATTTGTCTAGTACCTCTCTGATATGGATGATATGGAGATATGGATGCTCCAACTTTGTGAATGGATGCAAGCTCTTTGAGGACCTGTGCTGCATTTTTTATTTGTGCATCCTCATTACCGTGGGGGAGGACAGAGGACTTACAGTGTGTAGGTACATGTACCTCTACAATTGTCACTGTGTTAACTGGGGCCTAGATGCTGCACTCTTATATGACACAATCTATGACAGTTTCCAATTTTCAAACTGATTGTCCAACTGAACATTTCAGATATGGGGCATTTTTGTCGCCTCCTGGAAGTTCTTAGTTTAATTACATTTAGGAAAGCTTATGTTGGGGCAGGAAGCTAACTTGAAGCATTTACATAAGCATGTTGCACAAAAAGAGTGCTAACATGATGTTTGTACTATTGGCCAGCTTATAATGTTTTGCATACAAAATACTCAAGTGCTCTCTGGTGACAGGTTACAGTGCATTTTTTTAATGTCTGCAGCAAATTTAAATTTGCTGTAACCACTTAAACTTAGTGGACACAACAATGTTTTTGCCGACAACGCATATGTGAAGTTGTAAGGTGATGATGTCATCAGACTGGAAATTACAATGAAAAGACCTTTACATTTTCAACAATTAGTAAAATAAAGCCATCCCAGGCAATACAATTTAGCTTTTCCTTCAAAGGCTGTTGACCGAGGCAATGGGATTTTATTGACACACCAGTATTTAAAAAAACAACAGTGATCTGTTGCCTGTGCATATGCTGTATACATACGCCATGTTGTGTGCCTATACTGTACAGCGTGGAGTGAAAGCATTTACAATTTTGGGATGGCTGCCAAATTTCCTCTGCCAATTAGCAGGGAAGGCTACCAACATTGAATAGGGCCCTCAAATCACTGTTGACGGTGTGCAAATACCACCCCGCAGACAAACAAATGTAGCCAGCAAGGATGGTATACATTTGACTGCCCAGTTCTTTATTACAAATAAGAACCCCTAGCTAAGCAAATGTGGAATAGTCAAGGTGATCTGGAAATTTAAATTAACTTAAAAGAATACAATGGGCGAGGTGTTAACTCTGGATGTTGAAAGTGGAACGACTCAAAGAACACAAAGTGTGTGGTTTAAGACAGATGTATAAGCATGTGACTAAGAGGTGAGTGAGGGCACCATGCAGTAGAGATACGCAGATGGCCTGTCACATAACGTCTAATTACGATAGACCAATTGCATCCACTAAGTCGCAGGTCCTATAGTGGGTATCAAGCATCAACAAACATGGCGACCTCCCGTAGCAAAGTGTGTCGTAAGTGTTATTTACCAAAAAAAAAGCAACAGTCAATTAAGTATTCACACTACTGATGTGCTGATTAGTATACCAAAGATCAGCTTTATTTTGGTAAACAGCTATGACACACTATACTGTGGGAGGATGCCATATTTGTTGATCTTTGATACCCACCACAGGTCATGTGACTCAATGGGTGCAATCTTTCTATTTCTTGGTTCCTTTAAATTAAAACAATAAATTGCTAAATTTGCCACCTGAAACTGAGTTCATGCATGGTCTATGGGTGAGGATGCCATTTCATACACTCCATTGGAGGCATCTTCAATGTCCCCCCCCCTCAAAGTTGCAAGTTTGATTAATGTTCCTGTCATCCTTGTAAGATCTATTGTATGAACAGCTAGAAAAGCCCTTTTGAGATACGGTGAAATTGTATCAAATGTATCTTTTCACTGGATCTCATTTTTTTTGATAATGAAAAAAGGTTAATGAATATTCTATTTAGTTTCATTGAAAACAGGAGAAGTAATTCAATGCAGGAAAATTGAACAGAAATTTTATAAATTATGCCTACGTCTTCAGTGGATTAAGGCTATATTTGAGAGTCAAGGTAAAAACTGGATTTTTTATATTACATATTATTTTCCAGCCAGGGAAATAATACAAACATTGTGTTCATGTCATGTCATTCCTTTCATTGAGTTGTGAATCCAACAAAAAATCCCCCCCCCAAAAAAAATTTATATTGGAAGACTGTTGACCACTTGCTGCCAGGGTTAATTTGAAGTTGGATGACGTATACCTGGGGGATTTTCAAGATTTTCTGTTTTAAAAATTCCTTAAAAAATAAATAACTTCATTCACTGGACTTTTACACCCACGCAAACTTTATTCATACATGCAGGTACCCGTGTAAATCATCTCTGCGCAGTCAACATGCGAGATGGTTGTGCAGCCATACATCGGGCAGTCGAATGCATAGATGAGCAGAAAGGTGTAACAAATCTGCTTCTGCTGATAGCAAAGGATTGCTCTGTCATCAATTTGCAAAATTTTCAAGGTTTAAGTCCACTTCATCTAGCAGCAAAGCTGGAGAGAAAACAAATCGTGAAAACCTTAACGGTAAGAATAGACAGTCCATCAGCAATTAAATTCTCTTACCAAGATGCCACCTTGCTCACATTTTTGCACATATTGATTCTGTTTTGAACAGTAGTGTTTTGAGAACCTATTGAAGGACAGATATTTTTCACAATTAACATGTAATGGAACACACGCATAAAACAACCTCAAATTAGTTTCCAGTTTATGGACTCTAAAAACAGAATCAAAACCAGTCTTTCTATGTGTAGATGTGGGATTTTCAGAAAGCAGGGATGGAATTTGATGTATCTTCCCCATCATGGAAGAACAGTTTGAGAAGAGAATTCAGGAGAGCATTTCTCCTTGTCTTAAAAATGAAATCCAATGATGTGTATGGTTACTCAAGAACTGCACAAGTTATTACCATGCTTCACACATTTTTATGACCAAGACCAGAACTCTTACTGGACCACTCATCATCACCTTCCAGAGGCTATTTTTGCTTTTCACCTGGATCTGTGCACAATTCAAATACACTAGCATACTTCAGTGGAACTAACGTTAAAGTGAAATATGCATGTGCGAATATCACCCTAACTAAGACACACTATGCTGGAAAAAAGGGCGTCACACAAACATGCTGCCTTTCCCTTGCTCCTGGAATTTGAATGGTAACTGATTATTTCTAATACATGTGATAAACACAGGCGTCATGAGAGGGGGGTGTCAAATGCCCCCCCATTGGTTAGTTTTGTTGGCAAAATCATGATCTGTCGGCAAAATAAATGAAAATGAGGAATGGGGAATGAAGATGAAAGGAAGGGGGATACAGTACACTCGTTTTGCATGATGGTCTGTTGGCAAATTTCAAATACAAATACTTGGGTTGGCTCGCTTGCCATTGTACCTATTGACGCCAGGGAGAACAAAGGCGGGCATTGCCGGGCAAGCTTTCCTGTTTAACCGTCTGAGCAGGCGCTCTATTATTTAAGCAGCCATTCATGGATAAAGGCCTAGCTTTGATACTTAACCACTCAATCAAGACCTCACGAGAATGCACTGATCAAAAAGCCAACTTCGCCAATGTGTCATACTGGGCTGACATCACCGAAACACCGATGTCTCTCAACTGGACCTGACGCTGTCGGGGTCTGCTGTGAATGACAGCAGACCTGCCCCAGTGTCAAGCCAATCTGCAACAGCCTCAACTCATCTCCTCTCCTGGCCTTCAACTGGGTATTTCTGGGAAGAGTGACTCAGATTCTGCTGGGTCCCAGCTGGGGCTGCTCCAGTCCAGCCCCCCACTGAACAGGAATCAAAAGTTGAGTGGTCCTTTGTTGTTTTGACCTGTCCAGCTTTGTCGGCAACTTTGACTGCCAGACCTCCCACAGGCAAGAAACACAAGCATAAATGCTCTTCACCTTCCTCCGCCAAGCCCAGTGCCAAGAAGACACACACCTTTAGACAACAGGACATCTGCCATGAAGACTTCTGTCTTCATGGCAGCCCGTTAATCAATTTCCAAGATGCTGTCCACTATTGCCATCTAACTTGATCAAAAACATCCACAGGCAGCTGCAGCACCAGATTTGCTACCCACGGACCTATCTCTTCCTACTGAGACACCTAAGAGAATTTGAACTGCCCAGATTCAGAATCAGCTTGGGGAAATACCCCAACTTGGACCTGAACCGGACTTACTGCGGTCAAAACAATTCTCCAACTAGGATGATGATGGTGATGATGATGATATTTATTCTCCTGGTGGACTTAGTCCTTCTCAGAGCCGGCTCTATCTTCTCCAGTGAGACATAATTTGGGTGCTTCACCTCCCATCACCCTCTCCCCTGAGAAAAACAACTCCCATACATCATTCAAATGCCATGCAGCCAGGCTCAAAATTGTGAGCCAAGTTTTCTGGAACTCCCATTAGATCACTCGTGAATCCAGGTGGTTAAGACTGTTGTGAATCCAGATGTTGGCAGCCATACCCAGCTTGAGCCCAGTCCTACTTTCATTTTCCCCGAGACAATTTTAAAGAATTATTATTAGTCCCAGGGTTGCCGGATGGTGCTAAAGATAAGATCATGGCTAATGGGGGCAAGCTCTCTAGCAAGAGCCCCTTCCATGAGAGTGTCCTGCCATGGTTTCTGATGTGCTGCCTTCCTACTCTTCTCTTGGAATACTTGGCCCATTCCTGCAAGGAGGACTCAACTGTCTCTCCTGATCTAACGACAGTGGCATTTCAATCAATGGACAAAGGCCTTAGTGCTACCTTCAAGCAATTCTCACGAATCTCCTCCTTGGCAACCTCACCCGCAAATCAAATGTCCTGGAGGTGATGAGTGTTCCTCATGAGGGCATCAAGTCTAGACTTCAAGACCCCCCATTCTACGATAAAGACCTCTTTGCCAGCCAATTCGTGAATAACGTGGACATGGAGGTGAAACGGATTGACACCATCACGAAGTTGAGCTTCTGGGAATCTGTCCCTTCAAGTACCAACAAACCCCCCCCCGAGTTGCAGTGGCTGATAGAAGATCACAAAATCTGTTTTAGCAAAGCTTTGCATGTTTAAAGTGTCAAACCATATGTTCAAACAGACTTGTTGCTTCTATATAACCCATTTATTCAACTTCAATTTGATTATTGCGCCCAGATTTGGTCAAATAGATTCCAGATGCAATCAACTTGGAAAAACCTTAGAAATTAGCTGTGAGAACCACATTGGTAGGGAAGTATAATACTCTGTCCATGTCAATCAAATTATTTCATTAACTCAAATGGATGCTTTGAAATCTGAGATTTCCCTTGCATCGTGCTGTCTTAATGTACAAATGTGTGAACAATTTAGCCCCAGCCTACTTGATGGATAACTTCATTATATCAAATCATGGTTCACAATTATACTGCCCGACATGCTTTGAATTCATTGGTGGTTCCAAAGTTCAAGACAGAATATTTAAGAATCATAAGAATCAGCCTCCTTTTCTCTTGAATTTCTGTGTGGAATAACGTGGAACAGTCTGTGAAAGCTGCATCATCACTAGGCAGTTTTAAATCATCCCTGAAATCAGTCCTCAAGAGTTTTAGCTGGGTTAAATGTTTTCTTCGTCTTATGCTCTGTATTCTGGTATTTTTAAGTTCGGTTTTAATCTTGTTCTTAGAAATCTGTGTGTTTTATATTTTGTGTAATTTCCTTACATTTTATATTGTTTATTCACAATAATTTTAATGTTTTTAAGAATTGTATTCACTTGATTCAAGTGTTTATGTACTTACGTCAGGGCCCTAAGGGAGAACACCTTATGGTGAATAGATTACAATTACCCTGGATAAACATTAGAAATGAAAAATAAATTAGAAAATAATTAACTAAAAGCTTGCAACAATATTCCCAGTTACCCATCAACAATCAAGCTTGGTTTCACTGTGATCGGGGTTGTTTTTGTGAAGATAATGGCCTCTAAAGACAGCACCCATTAGCTGGCCAATCATGACGACATTGCCATGCAACCCAAATACCCTCATCTACGAGCATTTACACATTGAGCTAAATAGAACATACATTTGCAATGATATATTCACAAATAGATGAAAAATACTCAAAAACAATAATAAATTGCACGATGACAGTACCAGGATGGCATTTCATTACTGTAATAACTCGCAGGACTTTGTAGGATGATGCCTGATTCAGATGATTTAAGTGGATCTGGGTTGCATTTATTCAACAGCAATTAAGCAAGATTTTACAATCTTCTTTTTGTAGACTGGTTGGTAGAGGGTGCTAATCCAATTATTGTTACACCTTTCCTTTCATGAAAGAGACCCCCCTTTTTTTTTACTGCTGAACATTACAATCCAGAGTTTCATTTTTTAAAGAATGACAACATAACTCTAACAACATGTATAATAAGCAACTTTTGTGATAAACAATAACAATATCTGAAATGGTCTTTCTTTCTAGAGTCCATTGTCTAGTCATTGAGTTGTGATGCATTGTTCCAGATATTTTGGGGTTGCATGGATTCTGTTGCTTCTTCTCAAGATGGTTGGTTGTGTGTCAGGTGGTGAACTGGGTGCTCAACTGTTATCGATCTGTGGAGAGGTCTGTAGCTGCAGATCTTTCCGCTGCGATGCTGTCTAAACAGTGTCACTTTGTGGAGCAGCTTGCGGGTCTTGTGCAGGAATTGTGACAGATTGGGGAATTTGGATGGAAGTTTCTGCACTCTTTCTCAGATGTTGTCTGTTGCATCGATACTCGCGACCGTCTTTAGTGATAATCTGATATCACCGAATGCCAACTTGTTTCTTGACCTGCGCTTCCTGCCACACTTTGCTGTCGCGTTTGTGTGTGAATCATACTGTTTCTCTTTCACACTGAGGAGAAAGTGGTGTGGCATTTCTGTTGTAGTAGTACACCTGTTTGGCCTGTTTCTGGGCTGTGACATCCTGCATGATTTTTGGTTTGAGCAGTTTGGTAGCTACAGGGATGTCAGTCTTAGTATGATGAGGGAAGCACTGTGCAGGTGAACTGGTAGGTCCCTCAGTCGGTGTGTTGCACCAGTTGAGTAGGTTTAGGTAGAAGTCACTGCAGATGTGTTGGGTTTTGTTGATTAAGCACTTAGCAATCTTGACAGTTTATTTACCTCTCTTAAAGCCATATCACCCTTGGGGAACTTCCTTAAATACAAATTTTCGGGCATCTCCTGCCCCTCGTCAGGTAAGAATGCTTGAATGTGTCCTTGAAGAACAATCCAATCCAATTGTGTTTCCCTCAATGAGCCGTGATGCGCAGGACCCCCGGGCACACGTTAATGCACTTCCAATCCCATGGAAACCAGGGTCTTCCATTTTGCATCCTTCAGCTATCTATGGTTGTCCGTTCATTCCTCCTTTCTGTTTATTTCAGGTTTAAGTTCTTTAATATACGCTGATTCCATTACCTGCCTGAGCATCACGTCACCGGGGCACTTGTTCAATATTTTTACCTCAACTTCTTGAGACTGCCCCTCATGTTTCTTTTGCATGTGTTTGTGCAGTGCCGATGACTCCCCTCACGTGTTCCTGAACCCTCCCCCCAAGTGATCTAGCCATTTCCCCAATGTATCTCTCTTCACATCCTTTGCATGTTAACTAGTATATCACCTCCCTCTGTTTGCACTGTCCTTTTCCGCTGTACTTCAGGCAACTCCGGGAGGTGCTGTGGCCAAAAGGACAAGCAGGGCCTTAAGATAAAGATTGTGGAAAAGGCAGGGAGAAGAGTAAAAGACATCCCTATGAGGTCAAATCCATTCCAAGGGGACGAGTGCCTAGTTGACGAGTGCACAGTGTGCCAGCAGTTGAGAGAAAAGGACAGTGCAACATCTTCATGTTATGTACAGGAGAAGTGTAGCAATGTGAAGGGGGCCTCATTTGGCCATGGAAAGCCCAAATTACTTAAATTTTACTGTAAGTAGAAAAGTATTTGTACTTAGATGACACTCTTGGGCAATTTATTCCAGCCATCCCCTATGCTTTGCCTGTTGAAAGGCCTCCTGAAATCAAGTCATTATCTGGATTTGGCTAATTTCTGTGAATGACCACTCGTATCCTGGTAGACAATTTTCTTAAACACTGAGTCTGGATTGATCCTGTCGAGTTGTGATTTGGATGAGATACCACCTTTTCCTCTTGATTCTAGTGTGGTGAGATGCAGTTAATGTAATCTCATGTCATAAGACAAGGCCTGTAATCTTTGGATAAGCTTTGGTTGCCCTCACCTTCACCTTTTTAAGGATGTTTTTCTGAATGTGGACTCCATACTTGCATGGCATAATCCAGGTGCGGTCCAACAAGGGATATCTTCAAATGACCTCCATGCTTCTATAGCTGAATTTTTTCTTTGCTCACCCCTAAAGCTCAGATTCCTGTCTTGACAACTGCCACACATTGCAATGAGACTTTTGGCGACTTGTTTATAAGAACCTCCCAAATCCTTTTCTTTAGTTGTTCTGTTAAGCTTTGTGTTCACTGTTGTGTATGTGTGGTGTTGGTTATGACCAATATGTATGACCTCACATTTAGCAGCATTGTAATGCAGTTGTCATTCTCAGCCCAGCTCTGGAAGGTGTCAGTGTCATTTGCATGTCTTTGAAAAGCAACCATGGGTATCTCTTGATTGAGTTCACATGGATTTTCACTTGCTTGTAGTTCAATATTAGAAAGTATGTTTATGACCTTAACCTTGTATGCACAGCTTTGGACCAGCGTTGATGTTTGTATTAACTTTAAAGTCGATGTGTTTTACCGAGTTGAAAAAAAAAATGGCACAAGGAATTGCTGTCCAGAAAAAAAATGACAGAAAAGCAGGAGAAAGTAGGCATGTACAGCTTATCTAATATTGCATAAAAAGTGTAAAATTCATATCAAAATGGCACGAAGACAGCAGCAGTAAACCTCCTGTATCTTGACAATATAAGAGAAGATGAATCAGGGGTATTGTCTGATTTAAGTGCAGGATTAGCCAGGTGTTTCATTCAAGACTTCTCCATTTTGTGTGAAATAATTGAAAATACTTCTTGTTGTAATCCTCAGAATCTAAAAAGTGTAGACCTGAATTTGCGATCATCCAGTGGTAAACTTCCAGAAGATATGACGAGATCAAAGAAAATACATCACCTGATACAAGATGCTCGGCAACATTGGAAAGAACATAGGTAGGTGCATTGTCAGTGTTGTCCCAGCAGCAGAACTTCCAGACGTTTTGCATGCTTGCATATTGCAGTAAATTTGTATTTGTCACCCACATACATTCCACTTAATTTTATTTATTGTTAAGGGCCATACACTGAACATCATCAAGCTTTTGTGTTGGAAACGAGAATGCCTGATGGCATTATTTTGTTATTCAATGATAGTATGAAATCAAGTTTGTGGTTGGCTTTGTCCAGCAGTGAAATTCACTTATTTTTTCTGTTCCTGTAAAAAAAAGTTGACATTCTTACACCCGGGCTTTGTACAAAAATGTGAAATTCATAAAAGTGAAGCCAGCATGGAGCTAAAGGCCATCCTGATGATAATTGGCTTGCTTAAGTTTTCTAAAGCTGGATTCAACAATTTATTGTGGTTCACACTGCAATGTTGTTCTGTCACAGCAATTCATTACCTAATCAAAAGTCCAGTTGATATTCAAATAGTGTAGAATTCAGTGGGGGTAATAATGATGTCGATAAAAATCAGTTTGAGAGATATCACAGATCGGTACTGTGGACATAAATTGACGATGTTGCATAAAAATGACTGAATATCACTTTTTAAAACTGTTGCACTTTTGGGTTTATCATGTATGTCATAGCTAACATCCTTTGCAAATATATACAAATAATATGTGGGGTATATCAGAAAAACCCTTTACAAGAATTATTTTCCACTGTTCATGTTGCACTCTTTTTGGCAACACACCATGCGGTGTCTCCATGTGAGACTACAGCATTCATAAGAATCACACACTGGCTACAGCTCTTTACCGCTGCCTATTTTGATCAAAATTCAAATTCGTAGTTGCAGAAGGCAGGACTGGAACATGGCTCTCCCTGTCATGTGCTACAGCACGCAATTCCATGTGTTAACTAAATTGACACACCTGTAGTGCAGAGTGAACATACGTGTAGCTTCCATGTGTGCTGTACATGTGTATTGTTTTTTGCTTATCGTACTTGTAATTATCCCAGTTATCACATAAATAATTATGCATTAACTTATAGAAATATCTGTGTTGCTGTGGTGTCATCTTTTCTTTATTTATGCATTCCTGGGGTTTAAAGTATCCCATCACTTGACCTGCAGCCCATGATTTTCCAAACAGCACTTTTTTTGTCGTTGCTTGACATAGACAGCCCTTCTGTTACAAGTTGTCATTGGCAAACGTTGGAAAATTTCTGCAAGGAAATCAAGTCTTCAGTGGCAATGGTCTCCAAGAGAGTCAGGCATTGATCTGTAATCTGACAGTAATTTTTAGGTTCTGATTTATGTTATGTTTAGTTATGCTGTTTTGTCAATTTGATTGAGTCATATTTGAGGGTACCCTTGAATGGCTGCCTGCCATAATTTTTTAATGCTGGAACATTTACATTTTAATCTGTGAATACCTACTTTGGACTTGTTCATCTGTGCTTTTTTAGTGGAATACATTGACTGTTGTGTGTGTTTTTATGAGTATATTTCTGGATTTTATCATCAGTGTTTCATGACTGTGTGAATACTTTACCATTTTAACCAGCCAGTATCTACAAAGTAAATGATGGAAAACAAATATGGCAGTATTGTCAGCCTGGTTGTGGAACTTTTAAATGAAATGGCTTTTATGTTCTGTTTCTTCTTGTCTTCTTTGAAAATCTCAATGGGAGATACGAACTGTGTATGAATTTTTGCCATATGGAATTTCGCAAAGTCATCGTAAAGAGGAATGTGTTTCAAGGACTTAGTCAACCTCCGAAAGTACATGCACCAGTGAGTACATGGACAGAGCAAGGGCGCTTCTCATTATTTGTTCCAGGTCCCATTCCTGTAGTCAATATAACTGCATTTTTTATGTACCAAACAAAAACTGGGTCCTGAAGTAGCAACAGAACCTTCTTCACAAAATTTCAGTTCTGGTGCTCGTGATTTTGACAGTCATGAACAAATCTACACAAAGGGCCCTCTTAATGGCAAGAAAATATCTTACACTTGTGAGCTATTTGCATTACAAATTCACAAGTACACTCTTTCAAAAGAGGTTTCTCATCACATAAAGTCTTTTCAAATCCTTAGATGGCAAGTCAGAAAAAAAGGAGGTAAACATGAACTCAAATCATGCCACGCCACACTTATGCACACATTGCCAGTTGTTGTTGTTGTTGTTTTTCACGACATTTAAACACTCAGTGTTCTGAAGGACTCACTATACTTGTTAATGTAAAATGTGTATCATCGTATTTTTTATGCCAGCATTTGAACATTACAGTATGGAATGCTTGGTCCATGGATGGAAAGATCACTGTCATATGTTCAATTATGTCCAACCACACAGATATATTCATGGTCTGTGAGTCTTGGATTACTGACACAAATGGATGCGTCATCGGTGCAGATTTCCCATCCCCAATTCCAGGTTTAAATTCTTCCCATGTGCCACGATGTAAGCGAAGAGGAGGCGGCGTTGTTATGCTTATCAGATTAAATCTTAAAGTGATGAAGAACACACTGGATTCTTTCAGGTCAATGGAAGTTATGGATTATAACATCGTTAGTGGAGTAAACTGGTACATACAGATTTGATCTACAGGCCACCGCATTCTAATGCTCATAAAGTTACAGTCAAAACCTTCTTGACCAAGTTTAGAACACTCATGGAACATGCCTTAACATCTCTATTAACTTGCATGTTGATGATCCCCACTGTGCAGATGCTGGACAATTTTTGGACCTAGTTACTTCATTTTGGTTAGTGCAACATTTTGTTGGGACAACTCATGTCAAGGGTCATACTCTTGACATAATTTTAACCCGGGCTGCTGACCCTTGGCTGTCTAATATTGTGACTGATTCATCTATGCCATCTGATCATGCTACAGTTCACTTTGTACCATCTTTGCATCGTCCACCACTAGTGAAGCATGTTAAACAGCATCATGTCTTGAATATTCTTGACATTGGTACACTGAAGGATTCAATTTTCTCTTAACTTTCACCTGAGAACTGTAACAGTTTCAGCGATGCGAGTGATTTTTAAGGCAACTTAATAACAAAATGGACAAAGCTAAAACTGCATTTCATCATAATTGTATTCAAGTTAACTGATACAAAAGAACTCTTTTTAATTGTAGATGTATTGTCTGGTACTGAGAGTTTGTCACCACATACATGTATTTTACTTGATTTAGTATCATCAAATTTGCCTGACACGTTTGCTGATTTTTTCATTCAGAAAATTGTGAGCATTCTGTCAAATTTATATGATGATTCTGAGAACGGTCATTTTTTTTCTGAAACCAAGGCTAGATAATAACTCTCAGTACCATATCAGAACTGTCAAAAATGAAAACGAGTTTAAGTCACTACTTAAAACTCACCTGTTTCATTAATTGCTTTATTTCATAATATTACTGTGAAGCGCATCGAGATGTGCTATGTGATACGCTATATAAGAAATGTGTTGTTATTATTATTATAATTTTGTTGGAGTATTTTGAACTTTGAAGTGAGGATGGTGTCTTACACGTGGTACATGACATGCCTTCTAAGACTTGTTCATTAGATCAGCTGCCTATGTAACAGGGAAAAATGGCACACAATGGGGGGACTTGCAAAAACAACAAGAACTCTTGCTAAACCAAGGGTCTTTTAGAGAAGGTTTGCAGGAAACTGAAATAATAGGGGACTGAGACACCAATATTTGACCACAAAAAAGGAAAAAAAGAATTTATGTATGAACAAGAGCTGAAAATGAAAAAAAGGACTAACAAGACCAAAGGACTTCAAAACCAACACAGTGTTCAAAATGGACATGTAAGAAACAACAAAATCTCTTGTGCATGAAGTACATACTGAAAGTGAGAGCAAAGATTAAAATGTCATAAAACTAAAACTGTGCACAGGCCTATGGGGCTCATTAAGCATGCAAATCCCCTAGCAAGTCCAATAAACAATCAACTAAGGAAGAGAAGACAAAGGCATGTTCTGAGGCAAATGGATGGAAATACTTATACATTAGTAACATAATTTGACTCAAAAGGGTAAGGAAGGTAAGTAAAGGTAAGAAAATCTATGAAGTAGAGATAAAAAGATGATATAAGCTTATAGTGTATAGACATGATAGCTAGACAACAGTAGGAAAACTTAAGTGATTCAGAAAACTAACACTCAGAAAGAAAATGGACAAACCTTCGCAAAAAAGGTAGAAACTGGACAATATTGAGGAAAGAGGAAAAAGCTAACTTTATATACATGAATAAGAAAAGTTTAGAAACTTACCACTGACTTCTAGCATAATAGGGCTCAATCAGAAAACCACACTTAGGTTAGGAGGAACAATACATGTCAAGTTGTCTGTTCCCTACTGATCTGCTACACTGAGAATGGCCAGACCAAGTGGCTACATTATACATGTATAGGGAAAGCTGGGTCTTAGACAAATAAACAGGGGGACACTCTACACACACAAAAAATCAAGAACTCTACACTAAAGCCTAACATTTTTAAAGGTGAACTACTTCTATTTAAAATGTGTGTAGCGGAAGGGTTTCAGCAACAAATAAGTTT